ATACTAACTAGTTATAATTTTAATAAAAAGGTGGAGGCACACTTTAACTCTTATTCAAATAAGTCTGGTTTTCATTCTGCAACTAAAAATGTACACGTTCAAAGCTTAATGATAGTATTAATATTACCTTTTACAGTCACCACTCATGACTTCTATGGAGCACTGGAGGATATGAATAAGGTATTATCTCCAACCTCTTTCTGCTTCCTGTGTAGGAAAGGCTGGGTTGCGCACACCCACAGAGCTGAAGTGGGCATCAGAAGCAGCATCAAAGAAGTGTCTCTTAGTTTTAGGAATAGTGAGAACTTGTAACTCTGCCATTTCCACACATGGGACATAAGATTGGCTTTGTAAGAAGCAACCCTATTACAGATATTCTTCCCACCCCACCAACCCAACTTAGCTTAACTGCTGTTGGGTAAACTCTTTTTTAAAAATATATTTTTTATTGATTTTTTACAGAGAGGAAGGGAGAGGGATAGAGTTAGAAACATCGACCAGCTGCCTCCTGCACACCCCCCTACCCGGGATGTGCTCACAACCAATGCACATGCCCTTGACTAGGATTGAACCTGGGACCCTTCAGTCCTCAGGCCGAGGATCTACCCACTGAGCCAAACCGGTTTCAGCTGCTGGGTAAACTCTTAATGAGCAGTGTGCTTTAACTCAATTAAATCAACATATCATTGCTGTTTTTTGTGTGTCTGTGTGTACATGGGTTCCATTTAAAACATTAACAGTGATAGACCAACCAACTAACAATTTAAAAGTTCTGTGAATGGACCCAATACAGGCAAACTGAAACCATGAAAGAGAGAGAAAAAAATATATCATGATAGGAATGACTTGCACAGAGAGGTGAGAAGGCAATGCAAATCACTCAGTATAAAGACTATAAGCACCTGTTAGGGGGTTGGTGGGTGGAGCTGGGATAGAAAAGAAGAATAACATGTGCCAACTTCATTTTATGAATAGCTGATAGCAAAATCCTCAATTGAGAAAAAGGTCAGATCCACTTTATTAATACCTTTCAGTTAAATACTAATTCAGAAGAAGGATACAGCTGAGGCCATAAAGAGCTACAAAACTACAGTCTGGCCATGGAGGCAGAAGACAGCTGCAAACCACATTGGGGAGATACTTCAACAATGGGAATGAAGGAAGAGAAATTGGCATTTAGTATTTACTATGTGTTGGTGGATAAAACATCCTCATCAGATTTATATAAGACAGGCATTACCACCATTAATTTTCAATAGAAAAAAAATCAGACTTGGAGAGCTTAATAACTAGTTAATGGTCATATGAGAAGCAAGAAGCACAGATGGATCATGTCATTTGTTGAATGTTCTCCTCATTTTTCATATGGCAACACCAACAGGAAAATAGAAGCATTCCAGGTAAAAAAAAATAAATAAATAAAATAAATAAAAATAAAAATAAAAAAATATCTCGAAAGGCAGAGCATTACTCAATTTCTCCAGATGTTGAATGTTTAAACTGATTAGAACCTATCTTTCAGTTTCAACCACAAAAATAACATGTAGGACTTAAAGAGTTTCCTTTGAGTTGTTCTCAAGAGCTCTCTCCCCAAAAATATATAATTAAAATAAACCCACCATAATATTGCTCAAAATGTACTAGTCAAATAATTGGCTATCGTATAAGGAACACCCAGGAGTAGGTTTTATGGGGAATAATTTAATGCTGGCAAACACTGCTTTCAAAAAGAACACTGTCCCACCTTCACCCCTAGGAGTTAAATTATATAATGAAATGTGTGTGCCTTAGATGAGAATGATTATACTTATGAAACTCCATGTAGAGTAATACTTGACTTCTTTTTTTATGACTTTTGTCACTTTTTTTTTTTTCTCAGGAAACTGCTTTCTGTCTCTGGGAAGTAAACCCTGATAGTGGAGAGGGCATACAATGAGAGAGGAACTGTGGACTAAAGAAAATAAGGTGGGATGATCAAGACTTTATCATCCTGGTACACCACTTCACAAAAGGGGCATTGTGGTAGAAATGCCTTCTAACTGGTACGTTATATTTGTAAGTTCAACAAGGTTGATATTTTCCAAGTAGTCAGTTACAGGCAAGTGCAAATGGTGAATGGACTTAAAGAGTCAGTGATTACATCTGCTACTTACATTGTGGTATTTCACCTTCAAACCTAAGGTTGCCTCTTTATCTTGAAGAATAATATGATTTTTTTTTGTCCTGCCAATCTCTGAGTAAAATTACTGATACCAGAGGGGCAAAAAAGCAGTTCTCAATGTAATCTGTTTTGCAAATTTGACAGTGACATCAAAGAGCAGGAAGTTGTCTGTGAGTAATGACACTGCTCATTTGTCTAAATGTCAAATTTAACCTCATCAACTCTCAGAATATGTCAGTAAAGAATGAATTCCAGTTCAGCCAGAGAGGATTTCAGTATCATTCAGTGCTGAACAAAATAGCTGTCAGAATCTTAAAAGCAGAGGGCTTTGATTAAAGCTTTCTTTGTAAGCTAAATGGAAATGGCCATTTCAGCACTTGGAGCTATGGACAGCACTCTCTTCCTTAGGTAATGAAACAAGTTGTCTTACTTCTTGAGATTAAAACATTCCCCAGATTAGCAATCATGTGTCCCTAAACTATTCAATTAGTATATAAAGAGTATGAATCACAGGTAGGTCTGTGCAAAGCCAGAATGAAATAACAGCAAAGAGGAGCAAATTTTATGACAGAGATTAAGCCTGAAATAAAATTAGAGAAGGGAAATATGATTTGTAGCCATCCCTTCAAGACATATCAAACATTTACTGCAATGCAATAACATTTCCCCAAGGAACGGTTTGTTTTTCTTGTTGTTGGAAAGAATAATAGAACCATTAACCCCTTGTGGTAATTTACTAGCATTGGACATAGGTGCAGAAGAGAACAGGAAGTATGTTTAATAGACTTGCAGACAATCAGGTGTAAGGAATTCATTCTCTGTATGCTTTCTAGCTCTAAGGTAGAAATTTCTTGAAGTATTCTGGATATGAGGTCAGAAAAAATGGAATTGAATCTGAAGCATGTTCCTTAATGAGTAATTTCATTTCTCCAAGTCTTGCTTCTTCTGTCAAATGTGGGCTACTTTGAGGTTTAAGTGAGAGAGTGTATATGAAGGGGTCTGGCACACATTAGGTCCTCAACAGATTTTCAATTGGGATTATTCACTTAGTATTAAGTGTTGACATAATGCAGTGCAATGTTCCTATAGTGGTGACCATGTGTCTGAATAGTTGTAACACTAAGGATGGATGACAAGAAGAAGGAAAACAGGAAAGGCATTGTTATTAACAGATGTGTCCTTATAACAAACGGCCCTACTCAGGTGTATTTGCACCTTCATCCACCTTGTTGGCATCCCCAAAATACTCCCTTATGTTTATGTTTTAAAACACCAACAAAAGAAAAAAAAAGTCTAAAATAATACAGGAAGAGCAAACTAAAGTTCTCAGAAAAGTCTTATTTCTCTTATCAAATACTAAGTCTACCAATTTTCTCCAGAACACCTCTTCATCATATACTACCAACTACCCTCACTACCTGCTAAGCTGATGAGAGACTACTTTGAGTGCCTCCTGCGCAGAATGGCACACTTGGAGAGAGAAAGTAAAAAAGAGATGAATGTTGAAAGCCTGGTAAATTCCTTTGACATCTTCCACTGAAGCTACAGATTATTTGTTTTGGACTTCAAAGCCTCCAGGACTATTTCACATCACTCCTCTTCTTCCCTTTTCATAATCATGAGGGAGAGAGCATCCTCTCCTAGCCTCCCCGTTCTCCTCCTGTTCTTTTCAACAGAGATTCCCTCTGCACTGCCCTCTGCATATGAACTGCCTCCCACTCTCCATTCATCAAGGCACATGCTTGGTCCATTCACAATTCAGGTTAAGTCCTCATGGCCATCCTAAAGCCCTTTTAAAGTGGATTCCCTAGCTGCTCTAATAAACTCCACCACCACAGCCATCATATCACCATCACACCCACTCCCCAACCCTCAGAAATCATGCAGAGGCGGGGGGAATGGGCTGGGTTTGCATGCAAATTTAGACAGGGACAAATAGAGATAAGCCTAGCATTAAAATAGGTCTTGTTTGGCGTGGAGGGAGGGGACACCACACACACACACAGACACACAGAACACACACACACACACACACACACACACACACACACAAAACAGTCAGTTACAAATATTTCTGAACCGTCGCAACAGCATGTTCTGGGGGAGGGGGAGGTTGAATGTATGAATGAATGATGAATGGATGGATGGATGATTGGGATCTCCTTGGCACTTTTCTCAGATGCCCCTCCTTCTTGATTGCTCCCAGGATGGTTCCTCTCTAATTAAGCCTCAGTGCTTGAGTGCACCTCGCTGCTTCGCCTCCGCCTCCACCCCCTGCCCTTTCATGCCCATCTCCAGACAGAGCCTAACCCTCCACGCCAAAGGGCACTCCACCTCGCCCGCACACCCTCCGTGACTTCAAAAGCCAAAGCAAGCTTGCTCCGTATGGGGCAACAGCTTTTCATCCTTCCAGCTTTCCTTCTCCCCAAAGCCCCTGAAACCACCAGCCATGCCACCACAAAAGGATGGACCATTTCCCCTCACTCCGAATCCACCTGGCGCTAGTCCTCCCCGCCCCTCTCCCGGCACTTTGCAACCCAGGCGCTCCTAAGAGAAATGCGGTTCCGTTCCCCGCTTCTCTCTGCAGAAAAAAAGAAAACACCCAAAACAAAACAAAACAAACAAACAAAAAAGGAATCACCTTTCCAACGCTCCGTCCTTGGTCCTGGTTCCTAAAATCAGAAAACTTTTTTTTTTTTTTTTTTAATAGAAAACCCCACCCCGAGAGCAGGGACCTTTGTTTGCAGCCCAGGGGGAGGGAGGGGTCTGGGAGCTTTTTGCAGCCTGGGGCGAAGGGTATGCGACAGCCCTCTGGGGGGCTGCTGGGAACAGGACTCACCCAGGATGTTCCCAACGAGCGCCACCACGAACACGATGATGTACCCCGCGATCAGGACCCACTCATATTCCTTGGGGTGCAGGTATTCCCTCCACAGGTACCGCAGGAATTCCTCGTCGTCATAGTCGGTGGGGCTCAAGAAGGGCTCCTGAGTTTCATTCAGCTCCGGAGCGGATGTCCAGTTGCGGCAAGGGGGGGAGTCCTCCAGTTTGGTGCCGGACATCACGGGGCTCCAGTCCGGTTCGGCTCGGCTCAGTGCTGCAAGCGGCTCTGCCCCTGCCCCATGAGCAGTGGGATCCGCGGCGGGAACGGCTGCTGCGCGGAGAGGAGAGAAGGGGCTCCGAACAGAAAATGACGTGAAAAGTTCAGGAGCCAATGCCTCCGCTGGAGTCCTGCGCCCCGCAACTTCTGCTGCGACCGGAGCCCAGCCCGGGGCTGGCTTTGCAGGCGCTTCTGCACCGGGGAGCGGGGAGCGAGGTGCCTGAGGACTTAGGGACTGGGCCCTGGAGCTGCAGCAATGACACCGGGAGGAGACGCTACCTCCGCTGGGCTCGGCTCAAGCTCAATTACTCCTCATTCCTGCACTGAGCCCGCCCGCAGCAGCCCACAGCCTCCTCCCGCGCTGCTGATGGAGAGCTGGAGTGGGAGGGGAAAAAGTAATGAAAATGATTTCAACCTGTTTCTCTGCGAGTCCAATCTCCGTCTTTGCTACTTTCTATTTCCCCCTCCATGTCTCAGCTGCAGTTTCTCTTAATCATACATGTGTAGGTCTGTGCACATGGCAACATGGCAACGCATGGTGCACGCAGGATGTATCTGATGCCTTTGTCTCTTTATAAAGGGGGTGAGGAGGAATCCCTGTGTTCCTCCAGCAGCACTCTGCACAAGTCATTCCAGGCAGATAGTTTAACATGTGTTTAGCTTTTCTAATTCAGCATCTCTCCCTCGAAACTGGGAAATGAGACCCTTTTGTAAGACACAGTGAGTGAAAGTTTGTGTTTGCAACAGCAAGTGTCATGTGAAACAGAGCAGGGGATTCTTAAAGGACACCAAGGGTCATCAGTGCGCTCACAGTTAAACGTGCTCAAGCGAAGGAGCCACGCCAACCAGCATGAACGGGGTTTCCAGCTGGATGGGGTGATTGAAGCAGGATTGCTCTCTGGTGATAGCCACACCCGCTGGTCTTCCTTCTCCTGGACTCACGGCTGATATCACCTGTCATTCTCTCATTGATTGATTTGGTCTCTAAGAAAAAGTATTTGGGGATGTGTCTGAGTTTGACTTCAAGATTCTTTCGTTCTCAGTAAGCCTGATGGGAATATTGCATTTGCTTGATTATAATCTTGGACTTGGGAAGGACCTTGGGATCATCTAGGCTAGACTCCAGCAGAATAGTAGAAGCCTCCTGAAGACATTGCTGATGTGTCCCTGGTTTGGATGTGACACCATAATTTATTACATCCACTATTATGGGACTGCTTTAAAGTTTAGAAAACTCTGCCACACATTGAAACAAGATATTTAGCCAACATTTGTCTTTCTCAGTCTTTATATCTAATTCGTAGTTGGCATCTTAGTGCTGCATGGATTAAGTCTTCCACGTGACAATTCTTCACATATTCAAAGTAAGAACCACAACCAAAGGACTTGTATGTGTGCATATAAGTTTAACCAATGGACACAGATGCTGGGGGGGGGGGGGACGGGGGAGAAGAGGTTTGAGGGCATGAGTGGGGGAGAATGGGGGGGAAAGACACATATGTAATACCAAAATCAATAAAGAGAAAAAAAATAAAGAATATTGAGAAAAAAAAATAAACACCACAGTCCCCTCCCCTTCCCATACGCCCTAAAATCACTTCCCCCCCCAATTATTTCCATTGTTTTAGAAATGGCATTATCTCTACAACCTATATTTGCTTGGTCTTCCTTTAGACATTTGTCAATAGCTTGAATAACATGCAGGTAAGAGGAAATACAGTTATCTGGATTGGGTCTTGCCAGTACAAAATGTATACTACTATTTCCAGTGTTTGTATTTTACTATTTTTTCAAACATCACAAGACACTGAGTGTTCATATTAAGCATTTATTCAACCCCATACCTGGACCCCCAATCATAGTCCTTCACATTTGTTTTGTACATTATAGTTTATAAAATTATTTTATACACATTATTATAAAACCTCTGATGGGCTATTATCGGCCTTGTTCACATATGAGTAAACTGTTTCTGAAGAAATTACAAAAGGTCAAAGAACTACTCAGTGGCAAAACCATCCAGTACTTTAGATCCCACCTTAGTGCTTCTATTATTGTACAGATGCCCTATTTCTTAAAACATACTCTTGTTGGATTTACCCATTCTTCTTTGTCAAATTTCTTTTTAAGAGAAGATAAAAAAAATGGGCATTTTATTTTTTGATATGTTTACTTAGTGCTCCTGTTTCACTCTCAGTGATACAAGTTAATCTAGGTTACTACTGCATGCATTTTACTTTCCAGTGAAGCTATCAATAGAAAGAAAACAAGTTAATAAGTACATAAGAAAAGTATTAGGAAAGGATACGTGCTATGTTGAAAACTAAACCTCACCATAATAGCAGTCAGCAGCTGTGTATCACTGCAGGTTGCCCAGGACCAAACCAGAGAGGGTTGGACCTGCATTACCACCATTTGCCCACCATCCAGAACTGAAATATCATTGCTGACATGTACACATAAGGAACTGTTTGACATTGAAATTGGGTCTCAAAAGAACTAGTGGCCCAGAAAGAAACTCACTACAGACTGATTCATATGCCTTTCAACATAGCGATTATTGCTTGTCTCATTTTTTATTCTTATAAGTATATTTCCAGTAGGACATGATCTCACTCATCTAGGGGAAATGGCGAACAATATAGACTGATGAACAAGAACAAACCCAGAGATAAGGAGCCATGGGTCAGACAGTTGGACCTCAAAGGGAGGGTGAGGATAAAAGGGAGAGATCAACCAAAGGACTTATGTGCACACATATGAGCCTAACCAGTGGTCAAGGACAATAGGGGGGTGGGGGTATGAATGGAAGGGGGTGGGGGATTGGAATGGGGAGTTGAGGACAAATATGTGATACCATAATCAATAAAGAAATTAATTTAAAAAAAAACTAAATAGAGTGAAGTAATCGTGAGTGAAGAATACCAAAGGCCATATTAGAAATAGGTTATCAAAAGAGGCCTGTGTTAAAAGGTGACATTTATATATATAAAAGCCTAAGTGACCAGTTGACCAGTAGCTATGATGCACACTGACTACCAGGGGGAAGATGCTCAATGCAGGAGCTGCCCCCTGGTGGTCAGTGAGCTCCCACAGTGGAGCCCCACTCAGTCAGAATCCAGACTCAAGGCCAGCATGAGCCTCTTCTGCCTCCACAGCGGAGCCCAGATATACTGCACCCGGCCTGGCTTAGAATCTGCCCTGGCTGCCTGCCACTTTGGGCACTACTACATCCCCCGGATGTTCCTGATAGTGAGAGGGCACAGGCCAGACTGAGGGACCCCACCGGTGCATGAATCCATGCACCGGGCCTCTAGTACTAGTATAAGTAGGATATCCAAATGATATACACATATATTAATTTAATTTTGTTAATTTGAGGATTAACCAGATTTTCTTAAATGCTGATTCTATTACCTAAAGTAGGGGTGTCGAACTCAATCAGAGAAGGGGCCAAAATCTAAAATCCAGCCTAAATCGCGGGCCGAATGGTTTACTGAACAGTCATAAACTGTCATTGTGATGGAAACGCAGCAGAGTGCAGTGATGACAGCGCGGTGCGGGTCACATTGCAAGGCCTGACGGGACGGATTTGGCCCGTGGGCCTTGTGTTTGACACATGTGACCTAAAGCATTAGTCGTTTCTCTAGACCTCTTGTTATCAGTAAATTTGACAAGCAGGCCTGCTGTAGCTTCATTCACGTTCATTGATACAACTCTGCTAACTTTATCCAGAGGTATATGTGTCCCTCTGATTTATTAGTATGTGTTTTCCTTTTCCATATACTATTCTTTTCAAAAAGGGGAAAGGCTGTTGCAACTTTAGTACCAATCTATATTCATTAATGTGTGCAAATTCCTTGTCATTGACAGTTGGTTCATAAATATGGACCAGTATGCTATTTGCTAAGGACTCGATGTCCTTAGCTTTCATTTTGTAGCACTGCAACTTGTCTGTACTTCAAGCTGCTCTCTTTAAGTGTTATATCTGCAATTAATCACTCTTGACTAAAAGTGTAAACAAGGAGATGACTTTTTTCAAGATTCTGTTATGTTATCTGCTTTATGTTGTGACAAGCCAGGATTTATCTTGATCTTACAAGTATTCTATTGCCTTCTATTATTTATCAGGTGATTTATTTTAAATATGTGGTACTCCAAGGTCATATAAAAATTCCACTCAAAACTCCAATTTATTATTTGTTTTCCCTTTTGCAAGTACATTAGAGATGATAATTATTACAGTACTCATTTTGATGTGATCTCCTTCCTTAGATCTTTTGATACCTTTTAGGACATTTGAAGAGGATTTTTAGCTCTGCAGATACTATTATTCTCTTCAATTTAAAATCTTTCTGCTGGAGGTTGGGGAAAGGAGTCAGCTTATTATCACAAGTCAGTAAAGAAAGTCCCAAATTGGTTATGTGATGACATCTTAAGGCTGTTATAAGAATTAAATGGATTGATATTTTTAGAACTGTGTCTGTGATATAGAAAGTTATCTGAAAAAACATTTGCTGGGAAAAAAAAGTAAAACTACATGCTCTCACGGTATGAGTATTATTTGCTACACATATCAATTACTCTAAGTGTTAAAATATTTTTAAATGTAGTTTACAATAGTCTGAGTACTTCTGTTTGACTACCATTTTTAGCTCTCCCACTAACCTGAATATATGAAAAATAATAAGGAAAATAACACTCAACACCGATTTTTTTTCTCTTGCAATGGTTGGAGTTAGATTGCTTAGAGATCTCAGATTATATGGGCTGTCCTAGATTTTACATTCTTAACCTGGGTGTGAGAGCACATTTTTTTGCCGCTCTATAATCATTTTATAGATTCATTTCAATAAATATTTTGGAGTATGTTCATATGTCCAGGAGTTTCATTAAGAGCTGGGGGCAGGAAGATCAATAAGATATAACCAAGCCTCAGTTATATGACAGCCCACTGATGAATCATATGAGAGAATCACTGTGAATTTCTAAGGTAGAGGGATGCAATGTCATGAGAACATGAAAAAACACCTAATTCAGCCTGGAGAATACAAAAATTGATGGCTCCCCTACAGGGAAAGTCACTCTTGAGCTTACCTACTTGAGGCAAAGGAGGAGATTACTAAGTGATGAAGGCTGGTGGGTATTAAAGCAGAGGTAGCAGCATTTTCTGAAGACTGGGAAGCAGGAGAAAACGTAGTGGAGGGACAAAAGCAAGGTAAGTGAGCAAGGTCAGGCTACTGCAACAACCTCTTGCAGTGATGTAGAGACTAGATTAAAAAAGGACAAGACAAAAGATAAGGGTTGTAGATGGTAGGTTAATATAATGATCCTGTCAGAAGGAAGGTAGTGGTGTGGCAGTTAAGGGATTTGGGTATTATTTAAAAATGTAACAGTTTGAATGGACATCATTCAGTATGCAGGCATCTTGTGACAGTCTGCAATTTAGGACTGCAATGAAACATCTTTTTTTACTCTCTATTATTATTTTCCCATTTTAACCACTTGCCATTATAAAAAATAACATTTATGGAAAGAACATAGGGCTATCTCAATGCACCCAAGCCCAAAAGGTAAAGGAAGATCTCATGGGGCCAGGCATGGACCTTGGAAAAGGCAGGTATTGCACTTGTGCTCTCCTTCTTGGGAGACCATCCTTCAAGGTGGCTGAGGGTAATGGGCAGATAGATCTCAGAGTGGCTTCTTTCTCATAGGAATATGGCCTTAAGGTTCCTCTATGTCTTTTCATGGCTGATAGCTCATTTCCCTTGTTAGCACTAGATAATATTCTTATTATTTGGGTCTATCACAGTTTATTTAGCCATTTG